GGGGGGGCTGCTCTGGGGCAGGGGGCTCCTCCGGGTGGGGGTCTGCTCTGGGGAGGGGGCTGTTCTGGGGAGGGGTGCTGTGGGGGGGCTGCTTGGGGTAGGGGGCCCGGGGCGGGGCCTTTGGTACCTGCAGTGATGGGCACGCTCAGGCTTGATGCAGCAGCACTTGGGACACTTGTAGATCACCTCCCCGGGTTTCAGCTGCAGACTCTCCACGTGCTCCTTAGTGGCATTTCCTTTGGGCACTGCCCCCTGTAGCGGGACAAGAACGTATTTTGGTTCCGGGGAAGGAAAGCTCAAAAACAGAATCAGTGAGCGCACGCGCTTCGGTCTGAGATGCCGTCAGATGATGCGCGATGCCACGGCCGCCGCGTAAAGTGCGGCGATGTGACTGTCCCTCGGGCAGGACCGGAAGTCACTTCCCACGAAAAGTGGCATCTGCATTCACATGAACTTGAAACACCTTCTCATCCTTTCTGAACCGGTCAGCCGCCTGAGTCTTTCCTGGCTTTACGCAGAACACGCCGGAGGCGAGGCTTACTCGTCAGGCCTTCCCGACTCAAGGGCGCTGCCTGTCCCCGAAGGGCGCCAGCGTGTTCTGCTGACACCCTTCCTTGTCACCGCGCTCTCACAGGCAGGGCTGACGTGACCGGGGTGGCCCAGAGTTTCCCCATCAGCTGCAGCCGGGCAACCCTCATGGGATGCTATCAAGAAGGACTTTCTCTCACGTCTGCGAGGCTGTGTCACGCGCCCGGGTCTGCCGGCCTCGCCACGGGCGCTCACGTACACACACCTGCCAAGTGCGGCCCTGAGACGGGATCGTTGCCGGCCGTGGGGAGGGCCCCGCGGTGGGAGGGCAGTGGCGGGGGTGCCCCACGTGCTGGCCAAGGTGAAATACGGCAAGAGGCAGAGCGCCAGCGAGGCCCGGGCAGCGGTCACCGGGGGCTGCGCAGTGACCACACGTCCGCGGGACAGGACTCCAGGAGCCACGGCGGGACGCACGAAGAAAGGGGACCCGCTGGCGTGGAGGAGGCTCGTAACGGTGGCAAGGTGGGAACGAGGTCCCCTCTCCCACCGGTTGGCGCCACGGAGCCTGCACCTCGAGCAGAAAGGCACGCTGGGAAGTGCAGGCCGGGGCCGCGGAGGGAGCGCAGAGCCGAGGAGACGCGAGGCGGCAGTGAGCAGTGGCGGGGACACAGTGGCGGGGACGGCGAGGGACTGGGCACAAGAGCCGAAGCTGCGTGGGGCAAGGGCTGACCTAATACCCGTGCACCAGCAGGAGGAGCCCAGCCCTCCCTGCTCCTCAGTTCACCTCCCAACACACAAGCACTTGTCCCTTGGCCATCCTAGCACTGGGAAGCTGTTCGGGTCTCGACCCTAGTGTTTCCTAACGCTACAATTTTCTCCTTAAGAAAGATTTAAAAGTGAAAGGTTCAACACATTTTGGCTTTGAAAATTTAAGTCAGGATGTTAATTTTAGGGGATTTACATACCACAATCTGGAGTCTTTAATCAGGTTTCCTCCACACATCCGGTAGTCACAACGCTATACGGATCTTACAAACCCCGCAACGTACACGCTCCCAGTGACAGTTCAGTGTCACGTGTTTCCATAGTAGGAGGCAAGGGACCCAGTTTTAAAACTCCACACACCTTCATTTTTATGAGACAGACATGTACCCTTCCCCAGTAAAACTGTGACCCACTGCCGTACCGTTCTGAAAAGCAGACACCCCAACAACCGCCCCTCTTTTCCAAGAGATCCCTCAGGACTGTTTCCTGACAGAAGGACAGCCGCACGGCCCTCACGCGGGGCTTAACGGCTGGGGGCCCCCGCTGGTGTTTAGGGCGTCTTTCTTCTGGTTCCTGGCCCAGAACCCCGGGGAGGCGACAACACTCTCGGGGCCTCGGGAGGCCCTACACTGATTCTGCGTCCCTGTCCCTCTCCCGTATCTTTCCATCTCATCCCAACTCCCTGTCATGCGTTCTGGATCCCCAAGACCTAGCCAAGGGGCAGCTGAGAACGGGGCTTTCCCCTAGACCTACCTACTCATTTATGGATCTCCCAGGGCGCAGGGAGCATGTGAAAACAGGCACGGGGGTGCAAGCTGGGAACTCCAGAGTGCAGTGAAAGCCTCAAGACAAAGGCCCGGGTGATGAAAATGTCCTAAAACTGACTATGGTGGGGTTTCACAGCTCCGGATAAGACCCACTTAACTATGCACTTTAAAAACGTAAGTTTTGGGGCGCCTGGGTGGCGCAGTCGGTTAAGCGTCCGACTTCAGCCAGGTCACGATCTCGCGGTCCGTGAGTTCGAGCCCCGCGTCGGGCTCTGGGCTGATGGCTCAGAGCCTGGAGCCTGTTTCTGATTCTGTGTCTCCCTCTCTCTCTGCCCCTCCCCCGTTCATGCTCTGTCTCTCTCTGTCCCAAAAAAATAAACGTTAAAAAAAAAAAAAATTAAAAAAAAAAACACGTTTTATGGTATACGGATTAAATTCGAATTAAAATGCTGACATCCAAGGCCCCAAACTCCTCCTTGACCTTGGAAAGCCCTCCCTCTGAACACTGCATCCAACGTTCTCTGTAGTGACCCGACCAGGAAAACGAATGTGTCCGTGCAGGACAGACGCAGCGTCCTGCCCACACCTCTCTACCACCTCTCCTCGGCTCCCCCCAGCCTCGTTGGGGCTTCCTCCAAGGGTGGAGACCTTTTTCTGTAGAAGGAGGGGGGCCGGGATAGGAGCTGGACCGCAGGGCCCAGGAGCAGGGTTGCACTCCCAGAGGGAGGCTGTGCTGAGTCTCTGACAGACATCAGAGTGGGCTGCGGTCAGAGACTGTGAGGTGAGGCTACAAAGCCACTGGGAGGCCATGCATCTGAGTTCGTCCCACAGCGCCGCTCCCGGCTGCCCACCCGGCCGGGTCTATAAATGCTGTCCTCTGCCCAAGACCCCCACTAGGCAAGAGACCAAGTGAACAGAGCAGGGAAAAGCCCCGGGATCTGAGCTCAGACAGCAAGAGTCACATCAGCGTCCACGTAAACCACGCTCTGCGGACTGATCAGTATCGCTTCAGCCTCAAACTCCTCATCTCATTTATAAAAAAATCTGTACAAGACATTAACTTCTCAGTCTTTTCTTTGGACAGCGCCACCAACAGACACGAGCCCTGAAGACTGTAATTCACAAATCAGGAGCCCCCGCCCCCGAGGTTTAAAACCACTGTTTTAATGCTCTCGAAAGAACCCGTTTTCAAATGAAGCTCCACAGGGACCACAAGCACCCGGCCGTGCATGCCGATGGCCGGAACGTCTCCGCTGAGCCTGCGGGCCCTCCTGCCCCACACAGCGGCCCTCTGCATCCCCTCCGGGCTCTGCAGCAAGTCTGGATCCAGGGTCTGCAGGGGACTCCTGGCTGAGCTGTAAGGGCCTCAACCACTCTGCTTACCTAGAGGAGGTCTCACACCTCAGAGAAAGAACCTCAACCCCAACGCACAGGTTCTGAATCCAGCGGCCTTCGGGACGTCGGGGACCGATGGCAGTTCACGGCGTCAGGTCTTTATTCTGAGGGAAATCGCTCCCACACGGAGCCCAATACAGCACCTTGGTTTTGTCAACACCGCACAATACACCAGGGCCGGGCTCCCTCCCTGACCCGAGCCTGAGCCGAGGACACCTCGCTGGCCCAGTCACTTCCTCCCGGGTCAACGACCCACACCTGGTGGAACCAGTGCGGTCACTAAGGAGCCCTCCCTCCCCGCCGCACAGACATGCAGGACCTTGACCCTCTCCAGGCTAGAAAGAGATGCCAGCCTCGGCTTCTGTGTGTAATTACAGAACAATTAATGAACTGTGAAGCTAAAAAGAACTTAGAGATCATATCTAACCTCAATTTAGCCCACTGAAGTTCAAGTAGCTGCTTCTGGTCAAAAGACAACAGAAAAGATTAGTTATGTGGTGAAATCTAGAACCAGATCTCCCAGCTGTCAGTCTGATCTGCAGAGAAACAAAGCACTTAAACCAGGAGGGACTTGACAAATCACTCAGGGACACCTTTACATTTGCACAAACAGCCCGATGGGATGGATTTTCATTTCTGCACGGAGACCCCACTTTGAGCAATGTTTATGCTCCAGTTCAGACATGAAACAAGCGGGGTGCCTGCTGATCTCGGGGTCACGAGTTTGAGTTGCATGGTGGGTGTGGAACCCGCTTTACATAAAGAAATAGGGGCGCCTGGGTGGCTCGGTCGGTTCAGCGTCCGACTTGACTTTAGCTCAGCTCATGACCTCGTAGTTCACGAGTTTGAGCCCTGCGTTGGGCTTTGCGCTGACAGTGTGGAACCTGCTAGGGATTCTCTCTCCCCCTCTGCTTCCTTTCTCCACTTGTCTTTGCTCGCACACTCTCTCTCTCTCTCAAAATAAACAAATAAACTTAAAAAAAAAAAAAAAAAAACCAACACAAAAATGCTACACGTCTGTACCAGGAGTTAATAAAAGCCCGAGGCCAGAGGAACAGCACCTTCGCCACGGGGTCTGTGGTGCCCCACGACCAGACACGAGAGGGGATGAAGGGTGACCGTGGGTACTCACGGGGTCTGTGAGCATGGTTCTCAGGTGGGACGACAGGGCCAGCACCGCTAGGCAGTTAAAAAGGACTCCGTTGACCACAGAGTACCAGAAGTCTTTGGAAGGCAGCAGCATGACGAAAGTCACCACAAAGTCCGCATAGACGACCAGGAGCCACGTCATGACGGCACAGATCATGCCGCAGCCGTCGCGGATGAACCAGACCCTGTCGGCCACGTCAGCCTCGGAGGAAGAGGACGACGAAGAGTCATAATTGTCGTTTTCGGCCAGGAGAGGATGATGCTCGACATCCCGGAGCCGGTGTCCTGATGACGGCATGGTGTCCCCGGGCACCCTAGGAGACGGGACAGAGCTGATGAGGCTCGGGGGGGGGGGGGGGGGGGCCCCCACGTGCACACTGGTAAACCGGACGGGTTAGTCTGCTCCGGACCATCTCGTGAGACAGTCCACAAACAGCAGAAAAGAACATTAACAACGGAACAAGACCTGAACTTTAAAATCTTTCACCTCGGGGACTAGTTTACGGCCTATGACACAGTACACCCCACGGCACGAGTGACCCCGAGGCGCACACAGCCGCCGAAGGCCAGCCACAGCCATGGACGAACAGAGATAAGAGAAAGAAGAGGCCGGAGGCAGCCTCCCAGCCGCGGTGGAGACCGAGCGAGTCGTGCCACAGCCGCCACCCTCGCCAGCAGGCCCAGGCCGTGTCTGTGCGGAGGCCTTGGGCCCCGGTCCGCTCAGGCCCCCCGCGTGCGGTGCGCTTCTGTGTCCCCTCCATCGCCCTGAGCTCTGTGCTGTTCCGGGAGGGTGCTCCTCTCTGCTTTCGCGTCTTAACACTCTCGTTCCCTCGTTAATCCGTTCGCTGAGCCGTTCCCGGACACCTCTCCCGTGCTTCCCACGCTGCCCGCTACAGGACAGCGCGCGGGGTGTGAGGGGACTCCGGAAAAACCCGGGCTCTTCTTGGCCGGCTCTGGCTGCCGCGCTAATGCACGCCCCGACAGCGTCCCGAGCGGCTGAGCGCTCGTGATCGCGGTGGGGAAGGGGGGCTGGGGGTTCCCTTGGCCTTGGTGTTCATGCACGGAAGGAGAAACACCCACGGCCTTCCATCAGGGGCCCCGAGGACGCTCAGCGTGGGAGCAGGAGCGAGGGCACCGCCGGGCCCCCACGGGCCTACAGATGGGCGCGGCTCTTCCTCGGAAGCAACTGCGGCACAGTGATGACAAGGACGAGCCGACAAGAGGCAGCTCGGTGCACGGGCACGAGACCAGACCCGGTTTCCCTCAGGCCGTAAAATAACCCCGCTCGCAGGTCGGACACACATCGCTTGAAGGTTTTTTCTGAGTGACACACAAGAAACTAAAGATCAAGAGAGCGTGGACAGATCACAGCCAGCCTTCTGGCCCGACGGCGCGCCTTCCCGGGGGTCCACTCCGTGCAGACGAGCTCCCCGCACCCCTCTCCCCCCAGCAAGCCGTCCTGACAGGTACCGTTCCCCAGAGGGGCACGCTGGGAGAAGGGCTTTGGCACACCTGACGTGACCATCGGAGGACGGCGCACACCCCCGGTGCAGCCCAGTTCTGTCAGTGCCCGGGCAGTGACTGGAAGCTTCTCCCGTCCCTGGAACTCTCAGGGCCCGCCCACCGGTGCTGCCTGTGGCGTGCAGACCCCCTTCTGCCTTAAGGGAGCTCCTGTGCATCTTCCCTCCCTGGCGGGCTCTCATGAAGGGTCTGGCCTTCTCCCCGTGTGCCCGTTTGCCGCGTGCAGGCTGTTGGGCCCCCGGCAAGGGCATGTTTGTTATTCGGCAGATGCAACACCGAGAGACTGGTCCCTTTCTCAGATTGAAGTAGTTTCATAGCGATTTCCAGGAAAGAGTCTTAGCGCATCGTCACTATACATCGAGGCCTTAAGCCGGAGAATCCCTGAGACCAGCCTCCGTTTTGCTTCACGGCCACTCCTCGAGCAGGACGCTCCCCGTGACGAGTGGGCGCTTGCTCGCCGGACAGCAAGACAAGAAGCTACGGGCCAGCCTTGCGCCAGAGCGCGTCTGGGCCGTCGGAGAGCAGGGCCCAGAGGGTCGTCCGGAGGCACGGCGCACGCTGGGCCCGTCCCGCTCGGCCCTGCCGGCAAGGTACCGGTGACAGGCGTGCTCCTGCAGGAGAAGCCGCAGACGCACGGACACCGTGGGAGGGCGCCGATGTGCCACGTTTGTCAAATCAGCCGAAGGCCACGGGAAAAGAACCTGACAGCCCAAAGTCACTTCGTGTCCAGGAAAACAAGCGCTGAACACGGCAGGGCGCGGCCGGCTAGACCGGGTGCTCGGTCACCGGCTGCACGAGCCGGCGTTCTGCCGAGTCACTGTGTTTACACCACAGGAAGGGAGGGGAGGAAGTGAAGAAGCCATGCAGACGCTGGAAACGGGACAGCAGACGGGACACCGCCTGCAGCCGCCGGGGCGAGGGCGCGGCCCCCTCCCCGCTCAGGGCCGCACCGCCCTCGTCTCCGAGCCCTGACGGCCACCTCTGAGGGAACCCGGAGGCAGCGCGATCGAGCGACGGGCGAGCCGGGGGCGCACCGTCATCATTGGACTTTAGCGGCCGATTTAACGGGATGCCGTCCACGCTGCCGCACCTGAGCGGTTTATGCTCACATTAGGGACAGCGGTTTCCCAGAACGCGGCAGGTGGCACGGCGGGTCGCTGCGACGTGTGGGGACTGCCATCCGGGCGACGCTTCCCGTTAATTCTCGCCCGGCGCCCACCTCGTCTGCCGTACGGATCGCTCACGGGTTCGCGTCATGGAGCCCCCTCCAGAGGCGGCGAGCGAGCCGAAGCCCACAGGTCAAAGACTGACCGTCTATACCGCACAAACCGCCCCGTCAACGAACGCAGTCAGCGTCAGCAGGGCCCCTCGCTTACCTCACAAACGAGCTCGAAGCATTACTTGAACATTTTGCGCCTTTTCTTCAGGATGTGAAGGTGCATAGTGTCCTATGTGACGGGATCTGAAAGACAACAAGATCTGATGAGAAAGGTTACTTCTCTTACGACTGAAGTACACGGCATTTCTCAGGCCGGGATTAATTCGGGGAGCTGTGTAACCAACATCACACTTGTCACGTAAAGTTCCGCTACCCGGAACCGCCCCTGACGATGAAGTCATCGCTCCTCTGCATTTCCACTACTAGTAAACTCTGAAGTGATTCACGTTACGCCTGCCCCAGGATTAAATGCGAGTCTAGAAGCCCGAACCTCTTGAGAAAGATCCCCAGGGAGAATCCAGGCCACATCCGACCAGCCTGCGTTTCAAAAGCCGACAACGGTTTTAGCGGCCACAGCAGGAGAATCACAGAGAAAACCGGACAGAGCCAGACCACGAGGGGAGAGGTGCTGGGCCCACGGGGAAGGAGGGAAACAGGGAACCGAGTGAGGACTGCCTACTGGAGGAAAAGACCGCCCCCCTTGGCGTCTCCCTCTGGCTCCCGGTCACCCGCGGGCGGCAACCAGACGTGGCCTCTGCAGAAGCACCCGTGTGTGGCCCTGAGAAAAAGGGCCTGAAGATAACAAGGTGGGCGGGACCCCCGACATAAACAGTCTTTATTCCCAGCACGAATCTTTTCATTACTTTTTTTTCAAGCTGTCCATTTCTTTCCAGTCTTTCTGAAATATGACTGGCACGCATCACCGTGTGCGTTCAAGGAAGACAGCATGATTCTTTGGCTTACACGTGGCTCAGATGTTTTGAAAAAAGCCCACAACGGGGCGTGCGAAAGGCTAGAGCCCCAGAAAGAAACACAGAACAGGCAAAAGGCAGAGAGAGAGAGAAATTAAGAAGAAATAAGAAATCGTATCTGTGAAACAAAAGAGGAACATTCTGAGAACTTCCTAGTTACTGAAAATAAAAATGGTGACAGAATTTTAAAAACAGGATCGGACAGGAGAGTGAGGAACTCTCCCAAAAGGAGAGCTAAGTGACAAAGAGAAAGAACTCAGGAGACAGCATAAAATACAGTCGGCTGGCCCACCGTCCCGGCGCCTGTCCGTTCTTTCTCCCGTGTCCTTCCAATAGATTATTCTGCTCAAGCAAACCCTCCGTCGGTGCTGTCTTCCGAAACCAAAACCCCTGACTAGGACAGCGGGAGGTTGGCGTGCAAGTCGGGGAGGAGGAGGGGCCGGGGGTCAGGAGGCGGGAGGCGCCTCTCCCGGGGGGCCCCCCAGTCCCTGCCACCAGACAGACGCTCCAGAGCAGAGCGAGGCTGCTCACTGTCCTGCCTCAAGGCTCCTCAGAAGCCACTTCTCCCTCGGCACCTACCCGACGACCCCCCTGCGTGTCCTCCCACCTCCACCCCGGCCACTGTCCCCTAGCACCTTTCCAGCCCTGAGCCCCTTCTGAGGAACAAATGTAGCCGTGACTCCAAAGCTGCTGAAACTAATGGGGGGGGGGGGGGGAAGACTTTTAAAATACGGTATTTATATACAGTAACTTTGTTCACATAGCTATGCGGTAACCAACTATTAATATGCAATGATACTTTGAACTGTTTTCAGATAAGCTTACGTAACAATGTTTTAAA